GGCGCGCGGGCGGGGCCCCTGACTCCTGCGCCTCCTGTTTCGGGGCTTGTTGGAGAGGTCAGCGTCCAGTCTGTTTTGGCTTGGGCTCGGAATTTAAAGTAGATCCTTTTGGGGAGCCAGGCCCTTTCTGGGAGCGATCCTCTGGCTCAGATGAGTTTGGGGAGGGCGGGGAGTGGGGTGACAGTGAGGTGCAGGGCGGGGATCGGCTTTGAGGTTTGCTGATAGCCGGTATGTGGGTAGGAGAGCTTTGGGTGAGCCTGGGATGAGGTGGAATTGGGTTGAGGAATCAAGGTTAGCTTTAGAAGTTATAGAGCCCGGGTTAAACATTTAGAGTTACTAGTGTGTCAGGTCGGCTTGATGTGTGCAAAGTTTGGATTAAGGTCACTATTTTGTGTTCTAGGATGGCCAACCGTAAGTCAGCGTTCAGGGTCAACAACAGGAACTGGTTAGGAATTCAGTTTTTAGGGATTAGAGAACCATGGCATGGTCAGTTTTAGGACTAAATAGTGGAGGGATGGGTCAGGAAAGGGATGAATGTCAAAGCCGGTGTGGGGAAACAGGAAACAAATTAGGGTCAAGGTTAATGTTAGGAATTAGGGTCAGTTCTAGAGGTGGTGGTTGAGGTCAGGGTAGATGACCCGAGGCAAGTAAAATTGAAGAAGTTGACAGTAGCAAATCTGAGCTTTCCCATCATTTCATAGCACTCCCCCACCATTTTCACTCACTCATTCATCTGCATACTTCTTCGTCGTCTGCTGAATACCCTACACCCAGCCCAACAGAACTAGTCCATGCTCTGTGCCACCCCCTGGTTCTAAGCCTCCTTAATTTCTTGGTCTAGTTGTAGATCCCCTTCCCCCACTCCCCAAACAGAAAAGAGGAAATGAGACCCAAAGAGGAAACTGGGTCTTGCAGATCCCACGCCCAGCCAGGCCACTGACCACACCCCCAAGTCACTCCCAGCATGACCCTGCCACTGACCATAGCACTGTCCCTTACGCAGTCTGACCCAGCCACTGGCTGCAGCCCATCCCCCCTCCGCCACTCCAGCTTTACTTAGACACTTCCAGTGTCCCTTCACTCTTCCTCCATCCCAGCCTAATTTAGCCACTGACCACAGCCCCATCTCTTCTCAGCCTTCTGTAGCCTGACCTAGCCTGTGACCTCACTTCACCATTCCCTGATTTAGCCACTGTCCACATAATTATTCTTCCCCTTCTCCCAGCCTGATCCAGTGACTGATTATCTACTACCATCTTCCCTAGCCTTCCTCTATAACCTTGTCTTCCCCATTTCCAGCCCCATACAGTCACTAACCCCATCCCCCCTTTTTTTTCTTTTTTTAATTTTAAGGGAAGGTATGTACATGCTTTTGATTTTTTTAAAAATTACAGTTGGCATACAGTAATTTCAGGTGTGCCACAGGGTGTTTAGGCATTTATATACCTTACGAAGTGGTCACACCAATAAGTCCAGTACCCATCAGGCACAGTGCACTAACCTTCTGCCCCTACCTAGTGCTAACCACATCCCATCCCCTTTTCCCCAAAGGCTAACCACATCCCCTGACCACAGCCTCATCTTCACATTCCCAGCTCAGCCTGATCCTTCCTTTCCCCCTTCCCAGTTTCTTACCTAAACTCAAGCTTCCCCAGCTACAGAGTGGCTGTTAATGACAAGAAGCCAGGCCCTTTGGGTTCTGGGAAACCCAGCCTGACTTTGGGTTCTGGTCCCTGATGGTTGACAGAACATACTGTCATCAGATCCTGTCTGTTCTACCTCTTAAACTTCCTAATGAGTGACATCCTTCTCTCCACTGTTCTATCTCTGGCTTCATTACCTCTCACTTATGCAAATGCAGTGTCTTTCTAATCTCCAAGGTTATTTTTCTAAAGTCCAGTTCTGGTATTTTCCTTCTCTACTCACAGCCTCCCTTAGCCTCCTGTTACCCTCCAGTAGGTCAAATCCCTCATACGTCTCTCTAGTCCTCCCTGGCCTTTTCATCTAACCCTGACTTGCCCATCACTGCTCCCTTGCAGGTACCCTGTGCTTCAGCCAGCCTGTCTACTCACTTCCCTGAATGCTCCTACGTGATTTCCTGCTTCTTCACCTTTGCTTATGCTATTCTCTCTGCCTGGAATGCTACCCCTGACTCATCTGCAGCTGGTATAGTGGAGAGCTTGGGCTTTGGAGTCAGAGAGACCTGGGTTCGGATCGTGGCTTCACAACTTAAGTGTGTGACTTTGGACAAGTACCTTGAACAAGTGTTTAACGTCTTTGAACCTCAGTTTTATAATCTGTAAAAATGGAAATAATGACACCTACCTTGCAGGGTTGTTGTAAGGATTAAATGAAATTATGTATACAAAGCAATGGACATATAGTTAATAAAAAGATAGATCGCTGTTATTTCTATATTACCTTTATTTTTTTTAAATCCTAACTTCTAAGAACATTTTTCATGGAGACATTTTGGTCCTCCTTCCCTAACCTAAAGGGATCCTCCCCTGAGCACACACCTCTTGGCTTTTACCACATCCTGCCCTCTGGTACAATTCTGTGCTTAACTTATCCACTACTCTGACTGGGAGCCCCTTGAGAGCAAAAACTAGGGAGGGCTTATCTTGGTTCCCAGGGTCTTCCCTACAGCAGGACTTCAGAAATGCTTGCTGGATGAATGGAGGGAGGATAGCTACATAATGGGAGAAGAGATGTGGGGCGACAGTTGTGCTTGCTGATAGAGGTGTATTTGTGGGGAAGCTGTGTGTGTGGGATGAGGTCTTTATGGGAAGATAATGTGGTTGTGATGGGATCTGTGTAGGGGCTGTGTGTTTGAGATAATGTGTATCTAGAGACAGTGTAAGTAGCTTTGTGGGAAAGAGCCCTATGCGTAGGCTCTCTGGGGGTACGTTTGGGGAGAATGAATATGCATGGGTAAGGGTATAGGTGAGGAGAGGCTGTGTTGGGAGAGGTCAGGTCCAGACCTTTAGCTGCCCAGTCCAGCCCTAAATGAGCCTCCAGCAACTTGAGGCCGGATATGTCAGTCTCACCCACAACCCTCACCACTCCCCCTCCTCGCGGTTGCGGACTCAGAAGCCAAATTTGGTAACAGACTGAGTTTTGCTCCCCCAACCCTCTTCCATTCTGACTCTGTCTTTAGCTTTCTCTCCCGCTTTGTCCCTCTCTCTAACTCCCTCCCTATCTTTCTGCACCTCCGTTTGTGGGTATCTGCTCTGACTGTATTCTCTATGTGCCCCACATTCCTCATCCCCGGTATACTGACATTCCATTCCTTGCTGGGATTTGACCTCCTGTCCTCCATCCCTCTCCCGCCCCCCCCCCCCCCCCACTGGGGATATGCCATTGCCCAACTCCTCTGGAATGTATCTCAGGAATGTCTTGAGGGAGGAGGAGTTCCCTGGGAGGGGGACTTGGGGAGGGGGGGGTGTTGTTGTTGCGCTTCCTCCATAAAACATGGAAAGGGTAAGAAAGTTCTCAGGCCAGAGCAGGAACTAGGTAGCTTCTCCCTATACTTCCAGGGGCCTGGTTCTATGCCCTCATCACCCTCAATTCACTCCTCCGTTCCCTTTCCTTCCCACCCCCACCCTCCGGTAACTTGTGGATGTCCACTCAGGACCAGCCTGAGAGTAGGGGTAGGGATGACTCAACTCCCTTATCGGGGTCTCACCAGAGGTTTCCGTACTTGAGGAAGAAGGGGGTGCCCATATGTCCGGAGGAAATGGGGGGAGATGTGCAATTTCAGCTTTGGGTGGAGGAGGGTCCTTTCAGTCTTGCCCTCGGCTCCTCAGACTCCTCCACCAGCTTTGCTCCAGTCCTCCAGAGACCCCACATCCAGGTCTGTCCACCTCCTGGGAGAAGTGCCCGAGGAACGGGGAGGTGGGCAGAGAGCTGGAACGGGAGACGGGGAGGGTGCTCTCTTGCTTGGGAGTAAAGTTAGAGAGCAAGCTATGGTTTCCTCTCTTTTGAGACTCTTGGCTGTTGAGGATGTCAAAATGGTCCATTAGACCCTAACCCAGGCCCTTCCCTGTCTCCTGTTTCTACCTAAATTTTCAATCCCCCACACCCCATCCTTTCTAATTTCTTCACCCCCAAAAAAATATACCCCTCTCAACTTCCCTGGTACTCAACTATCTTCTGTATCCCAACACTCCTAATTCTGCTTCCAACTTTGCCCCTAATCCTGCTATCCCACTTGGGGCTAGCAGTTTACCAGGAGGGGACCAGGCAGCCTGGATGTGCTCACTCGGTTAAGAAGCCAATCCCCTCACGGAGCTGGGTCACATCATCAGCTGCCAGGCAGACTTGCCTTCCTGTGCACTGTGCGCCACCTGCCGCCTCTAGTGGCTCCTCCAGCCCACTAAGAGTTGGTGCCAGGAGGGCGGCGGCCGGCAGGTTGGGACTAGTATCCTGAGAAGCACTGAAAATACCATCGGGGAGGGAGCGGGGAGGGAGCGGAGCCGGAGGGAGAGTCTGAGAAGGACTTACTGAAGAGGAGAGTGTGGGAGGGGTTGTGAGGGGTTGTTGACTTAGAAGGAGCCGGGACTGGGTTAGAAGAACCGGGCTCTTCCTCTGACCTGCCTTGAAACTACCCCCCCCCGCCCCCCCGTTCTTCCACAGGGTCTGATTCTTTCTGCAAAATTGAAGAGTTGACTAGATAATTTCTGAGATCCCTTTGGATTGGAAGGTCATTATTCTAGCTTGATTGCCAGGGAAGCCAAATATGGGCGAAGCTCCTTGCACATCTCAAGTTAGAGGAAAGCTGGGACAGGAGTGCGTCTAGGTGGCTTGAACAGCCAGTATTTGGTCTTCCTGCCAAACTAGCTGGACTCAGTGTTTGCAGGCTTCAAAAGCCCTTGGGAATTATCTAATGTAATATCTTCAGGTTGTAGAGAAGGAAGCTGAAGCTGTGAGAGAGAAGGTCACACAATGAGTCAGGGCAGAGCTCTGAAAATCCCAGACAGGGAAAAGCCAGCAAGCAGGATTCCGTGTGAGACAGAGAGAAAAAGGCTGAACCCGGAAAAGATGAAAACAAGGCAGAGTCGGGCTGGGAAAGGAGCAGAGACAAGGAGCAAGAAAGAGACACTTGGAAGAAAGAAAGGAGGCACAGATTCTAGTGGTGAGGACAGGCGCCGTCCCAGGTAACACGGAATCCCAGACCTGCTCTTGCACCTTGCACACCAGCTTCTCCTTCAGATGTCTTAGATGGTTAGGACTGGTCCTTTTGATGTAACTAACCTTTCACTCTTTAAAAGTATTAAATAAAACAAAAACAGCCTCATTACTGTCTGTTTTGGTGAGTCCCTTTCAAAAACACCCCTCCCTGGGACTCCATATGGGAGACCTTCTCTCCTCCTGTGAGGGTGTCCTAACACCCTGATGCCATGGGCCAGGTGTAGCCAGGCTGGAGAAGAGAAGCTGCCACCATGGTTGCACTTTCGCTGAAGATCAGCATTGGGAATGTGGTGAAGACGATGCAGTTCGAGCCATCCACCATGGTGTACGATGCGTGTCGCATGATCCGTGAACGGATTCCAGAGGCACCAGCTGGACCTCGTGAGTCTGATTACCCATGTGACTGGGGCAGGATTGCTCAGTCCCTTCTGTGTTCCCAGGCTCTTAGCCTTGAGGGATGACCCTTTTGCCCCCTAAGGCTGCTCATCCCTCAGGTCTTTGCTCCATGGTTCCCGCCCTCCCCTTTTAGCCCTGAGTCCCTGAGGAACTAGTAAGGGCAGTGATGCAGCCATTCAGCCACATTGGGGTCCTCAATTCTGAGGTGATCCATCCTCTCTTTTAGCCAGCGACTTTGGGCTGTTTCTGTCCGATGATGACCCCAAAAAGGGCATATGGCTGGAGGCCGGGAAAGCTTTGGATTACTATATGCTCCGCAATGGGGTGAGTATCACTTCATCAAGGATCACCAACATCCTCTTCCATCAACTTCCCGGTTCCACCTCCTGTTTTCAGCACCCACGTCTGTTGTCTCTGACCCCTCCCATGCTTTCTGTCTATGACGAGCAGTCATAATGCCCTGCCTTTGAGTGAGCTGTTCTAGTCCTTGTAATCTTTCCTCCCTCTGGCCCTGTTAAAAGGAAGTAATGCCTCTAGCTTAAAGTGAGCCCCTATCTCCTATTCCTGCCCCACAGGACACCATGGAGTACAGGAAGAAGCAGAGGCCCCTGAAGATCCGCATGCTGGATGGGACTGTGAAGACTATCATGGTGGATGACTCTAAGACCGTCACTGATATGCTCATGACTATCTGTGCCCGTATCGGTAAGGGCGCTGAGGGCTCAGGAGGGAGGCTCCAACTCTGGCAAAAGACGCTGCCTCCTACCCCTCCCTCTCTCCTCCCTCCAGGCATCACCAACCATGATGAATATTCTCTGGTTCGAGAGCTCATGGAAGAGAAAAAGGAGGAAGTGACAGGCACCTTACGAAAGGACAAGACACTGCTCCGAGATGAGAAGAAGATGGAGAAACTAAAGCAGAAATTGCACACAGATGATGAGTGTAAGCAGAAGTAGAAACAAGTGGGCCCTGGAAGTGGTCAGGGTGGCAGGGGTCAGCCACTTATTGTTATTTATTGAACACCCGCTTTTGCAAGCACTGTTTCAGACACTGGGGATGCATCAGTAATCAAACAAAGTCCTATACTCACAGAACTTAGCACATGAGTGGGAGAAGGTAGGAAATGAAGAAATGAACAGACAAAAAGCCAGAGATAGCACAGGGGCCATGGGGCCTGGCACTGAGCAGACTCTGTGTCCCAGTGAACTGGCTGGACCACGGCCGCACACTGAGGGAGCAAGGAGTGGAGGAGAACGAGACGCTTCTGCTGCGGAGGAAGTTCTTCTACTCAGACCAGAATGTGGACTCCCGCGACCCTGTACAGCTGAACCTTCTCTATGTGCAGGTGTGGAGAGGATTTGCCTGGGGCAGTGGAGCTAGGGAGAGGGGCCAGCGAGGGGCGCACAGCATTCACCTCCTTTCCCTCTGCTCTCCAGGCACGAGATGATATCCTGAATGGCTCCCACCCTGTCTCCTTTGACAAGGCCTGTGAGTTTGCTGGCTTCCAATGCCAGATCCAGTTTGGGCCCCACAATGAGCAGAAGCACAAGGCGGGCTTCCTTGAGTGAGTGACTCACGTTCCACACCCCGTCAGCGCCCAGGACTCTCTGCCTTTGTGGCCCCAATAGTCCTGTCTCCATCCCAGGCCTTCTCACCCCACTTTCTCTCCTGAGGTGCCAGGGTTTGACCACATGGGTACCCTTTTAGCTCCTATCAGCCATTTGTCTCCTTACTGGCCCCATGTGGAATATGAATATAGTTCAGATCTCTTCCCCTGCTACGTATGTCTGAAGCAGGCATATAGCTTTCTTGAGATTCTCTGAGGA